TTTAATTTAATTTTTGAGTATTACTTTGGTCAGATAGGATATGTAATTCACACATGATGCACGTATAAAATTAATAAAATCCAGATAATTTTCATTTTGAAAAAAAACATCAATTTGGATTTTAATATACAAAAGACTAGTAGGTAAAAATAACAGTTTCCAATCTTGTAATCTATTTTTATCTATAAGTGAAAATAATTTGTAATTTATAAGTAAATACTTTTTGAATTCCGAGCGGAGCGATTTACGAGTATGTAAGTATTGATTTTACAACGATGTGTAATTAATTTTTAATTTTTTGATACTTTAAACTTGGTGTATGGTTTTTGATAACTAATTTAATCTATATGGTACTTTGGTGGTTCAAAAATAAAAATTCCCAGTATTTTTTTAAAATAACCTTAATGACCTCAAAAATAAATTTAAAGAAAACGGGAATTTTCACGCAAATCCATTTTTGACAAAATCAATTTTGTTTTTTAGTTGTAAATCAAAAATAATAACAACAGCGGAGTCTTGATAATTTCACCGAATGCTTATATTAGAATTTAATTGTATACCAACAAATTTTAAAAATATTTTGACTTTTTTGTGATATTTATAATCATTTTAAATTTTCAAATTTTTTTTGTTTTTTTTTCGATTCATGTATAATACAATTTTGTTGGGTAAAAAAAACGTTAAAATATAATACAAAGCTCCTTATAAGATTTTTATAATATAACAAATAAACAACATACAAAATATAAATTTGAAAATTTGACGTAATTACAAATTCTAACGCAGAATAATGGTTTTAGATTTAGATATTCTGTTGTAATTTTTATGTGTTTGTAAGTACCTATAGATCTTCTAGATCTTCCTATTTTTTTTTAGATATTTGACATAACATTATTTAAGGTATATATTGAAGGATTGTATATTATATACATTATAATCAAGCAATTTATATTCCAATTTCATTCTTCTATATTATATTAATTAAACTTGTAAACTTCAAATTGTATTAAACAAATATCGTCCTAGATACATTACCTGATTAAATTTTATCCTTAACTCCTAAGAATTACATTAACATTATGTTTATTAACAACATGCGATTATAATATAATTATTCTATGTTTTGATGTAGGGATTTCCATTTGCAACTTTGATTAACTATATATATATATATATTAAATTGGTACTTCCTAGTTCCAAAAGATAACTAACTATTTGAGCTTTGACCTATTTTTTTTCAAAAGTTTACTTAAGATACGACAACGAATTAAATGAATTGAAATCATATGTAAATATATTAAAAATACATTGATACAGTAAAAAAACAATAAAATATTAATTCATTTTAATTCATTTTAATTATTTGAGTAAAAAAAGTCCCGGGCAAGTTGTTACACTATACAATAAGTTTTGCGTGTATCTTGTCATTGAATGGGTCAATGTAATGTATGTGTTTAATTATAATATATTATTGTTATTAACTTACAAGAATATATAGTGACATACATTAAAATGGTTTGAATAGATGGAATATATTAAGTAAAAAATACAATAATTTGATACCTATAGTCATTTAATCAGGTACTTAAATATTTTTTTAAATTTAATTCTGTGTAAAAAATAATAATTTATCAGAAAAGTATGTATGATTATTTTGTTTGTATAAAAGAAAAATAACGAAAAACATTTAGAGATTAAAACATAAATGGTTAAATGTGTTAAAACATTTATAATACACTTATATTAACAGTTTATTATTCAACTAAAATTGTAAAATAATTTGTTCGTACARTRGTCCATGACAGTATGCCACCAAGTGTTTAATAATAATAAAAAAATCGTTTTCGTCAAAAACTGGTATTGCATGAATATTGCTGTTTTAAAAAATTAATTTTTAGCTTTTCCTGATTAATTTAAAAATTAATGTGAATTTTTTACTTTTGATTACTTAAAGAACAAACTAGATCCATTTTACTACCAGAAACAACCTCCGTAGTAAAAAGGAACAATTAAATTTATACGAGAATACATAATATATATGTATAGGTAATAGTAAATACGTAGAAGATCAAAAACCAAACCATTAAATTAGATAATGGAAAAATTTCTATAATATAAAACGCAAAAATGAAACATTCAGCTTACATAATAATATATTGTAATATATCCTTTCAAAAAAGAGATTAAGCTATTAAAGTTACATTAAACCTAACAAACACAATAAATATCTGTGAACACTAATGTTAATTTGTACACAATATACGGGGTGA